AACGTAATCACTGCCATTTTCATACAGAACCCAACTAACAGCTGTTTTTGCGGAAATAGAAAATAAAAACTCTAAATTTTCGGTTAAAATACAATTTTGTGATATATTACGACTAGAATTTGACTCAATTTATTTCTACAAACCAGAGTATTTTAACCTATGAGGAAATGGCGCGAATTACTGCATTACAAGCATTTTAAAGTCTTTCCTAAGGCAAAGTAAGGCATCTTGAATCTTTCCATATTTGTGCAACTATATCGTCAATTAAATATAACTGAAAGTTTATTTTTGAATAAAAAATACAAGTTTATTCATATCAATAATTTTAAAGCACTGTGATAAAGGTACGACATTTTCCCGAATCAAATAAAAGTTGTACGATGCATGGTAAATGATGTCCGATCCATGGTGAATTCTGGGTCATTTTTTTTAAAAATGGGTTTTTAATGATATTTTCTCAATAAAAAGCAAATATTTGTGTCCCAAATTTATATTTTAATCATAGACTAAATGTTAAGTTCCATTTTGATAATGTTCCATCGGTAGCGACATCGCTAGAACTTGTTGAAGTACAAGGGTGTCCGATGCATGGTGAATTCACCCTATATCACTGAGATGCTTAAGTTTACATCATGTATTTGGTTTATCTAAATATGGTGCCCTTTGTGAATGCATGGCCCATCAAATACATCCAAGTACTTTTAGAGGTAAATTCGTTAAAAAGGTGCAAAATGGATATTTCGTTTCTGAAGTCCTTGGCAGAGAAAATCAAAGAAACAAGAGGTTCTGTGAGCAATGAGCTCACTAAATGATACCCCGCCTCCCATATGAATATAATGGCAGTGTCAATGTTGTGCTATGGGAAACCCAAAATATGTGTAGGACTAAAATGTAAAAATAGGAGGTGCACAATGGCAATATGTAAGAAAGATTCTGTGAAAGTTTCATAAAATTTCACTCAGTGGTGTGAGAGGAGTTGCGGATAAGAGATGGATACCCCATAGCGTAACAGACGGACCGACGGACGGACATAACGATTAATACTCTCCCTCTTTTCAAGCAGGGGGTATAATACAGTATCCTCCAGTGTAAACTTGATAGTAGTATTTAAAAAAAGTAAGCTACCAAAAATCGTAATGCAAGTAGACATACCCCGGGTAACTAAGAAGGATTAAGTAGTTACGTGTATAAGAAGGATTTATGTAGGATATAAACACAGGGGGTACAGAGAGGTTATCACATACCATATAAGGAAATTTAAAAATTGAGTCTACTGTTCAATGTAGGTAAGTTCCTGACAACTGAATTAACAATTTTTAATCCAATGAAGTGTAGGACTATTTTATTATAACTGACATGTTGGAATACATTAGTATCTTGCAGCTATTGTAAAAAAAAGATCTTCCGATTTATATTTTTTGTATTTTATTCACACTTTTTCTTTATCCCGCATGGTACACCATAAATCAGTGAGTTCGTTATTCCAGTAAGGTTTGTTTACGTGACCTTTTAGACCGGTCATATTTTGTAATCTTGCACTCCATTTCCATTGTTATATAACATTACACAATTCTTTATATGTTCTATCAATGTTTTCTTGTGATTCACGACACGTCTCAATGCTTCTGATTATATTCAATAAACAAGTTCTTGTGTTTGTTGAGGACATAAAAGATTGAGGGATACACCGCATTTTGTATTTCTTGACTGGGGGGTGGGCATTTTAACTGTCTGGGATTTAAAACATATAATTACATTTATTTCGCAAGCACTTAAAATGCTTGATTAACCGGGAAGGTATAGTCATGCAACAGTGCCCAGTCTTTTATCCGAGATCTATTTCTACATTCAGAGAATCATGGGAAGGCTGTGTGTACAGGTACTGAATTGATTTGTTGAGGCAGGTATATTCTATCCAATGTAAAAACGGGAGAATATGTAATTCCCAGGACCTTCACTAATTAACATGACCAGGTATGTAATACATCAAATAATCTAAGAACATTGTTAAATTTCTTTTAAGAAAATGACTGAAAAACTAAATACAATCATGATCAGTAATCTAAATCAATGAATCGAAGAACCGAACACTGAAGCTATGTTTGTGCAAAATTAAGATTTGAAATGGTAGTATTTGAGAAATTATTTTGCCTAGATGCATTTCTTATACTGCAGTAGATTGAATTTTATCGTTCCTTCATTTCAGTCCTTGAATATTCGAATTAAGTCACGGGGTATTTCCCTATTACATGAGGTTAAATGGAAGAACCTCGGAGGAACGCAAATACAATAAGGCAAGCATTAATGCACGTTCCTGCTTGAAATATAATGTTAATGTAAGCTAAAACATTGCAACAGCATATTCATTAACCATTATCATATAGGCCTATAAGACAAATATCTTTTCAACATTTATTTAATAGGGGGCGGTTTGTTATGTTTTTATGCTCTATATCTAATGTCGATGAGCAGTACCCAGCTGTAGAAAAAGACATGGAATATAAATAGATTTTTAGCCAAGCCTGATGGCTAAAAAAAATGTTTTATTCTTCTCTAGTTGATAGTACACCTAATTACAGTATTTTCCATGTTTGCCATCATTTTGTCCTTCATAAATTTCCTATAGTCAGTATATTTGATTAATAACGTTTCAATATCTTTAGATTTTAATTTTAAAGATATTTTTAAGCGTTGTTCGTTAAACATATATAGTAAACTCTTGCATGAATATTTACTATAAACGGTAGTTATAGGCTAAATTAAATATATGATCAAGGTATTTTTTTGTTTCTGTGGTAAATACAGAGATGTATTTTGTAGGAAAAGTATAAATGGTAGAAATATTTTTAACCACATGTTTATGTCTTTGTAGTTGGTCATTATTGAAAGGGGTCTGTTAAATTTCATGTCTTATTTCCTTTTTTAGCAAATTCATATTTTTTTTCTTGTAGAAAAGGGATACAAATGTTTGTATTGCCTAACAAATTAAGAATAACATAAAAAATATGACACCATTTAGAGAATCTGTTAAAGGTACATGGAAGTAAATGTGCATCACATTCATATACATTATATTACAACTATAAAGGTCAAAAGATTTAATCGGCTTATTTTTAAAACCATTTTATATGATACTCGTTCATGTTCTGGACAAGAAAAGAGATTAGCCATTTTTACTTTGATTTCAATTTCATGTCCAGGGATTAAAGAATAAACAAATCTGAATGACGTTCATAACTTACATAAATTAGTAAAACTCCTATCACCCTCTAGTCTGCATGCTAGATCAAGTTCAAATTCAACATGCTAGATCAAGCCCATTCAAAACATTTATATGCTGTAAATGACCAAAGTAATTATGCTAGTTAGTTCATTTGGTATTTAATAGCCGGAGACAAGCTTTTACACATTTTTTTAAAATAATATATTCTAGTATTGGCGACTACGATCTCCATTTCGGGAAGAAGAATCAGAGATTTAGATTAAAATCAAATTCTATAAATAGAAAGACTATGTATTAGGCATAACTTTTTTATTATGGGTTCATAGCCAATTTTTCATTTCTCTCAACATGCCATTTTAACGAAAATTCTTTTCTCTCAGTTTACTCTTGATACGATATCTTAAATGGAGGAGAAGTTTTCTGTGTCTCTGACTCTATGGTACCTTGACCTACTGTATAATCTTCCTTGTCAAAAAAGAATGCTTTCCAGTTTTTGCAAAAAGTTTTGTTGGTATTTTCAAAATTTATTTGAATAAATGCAGGAAACGACCTTTGTAGTTTTTCCCTCTTCAAAAACACTTATATTTCGATTACAAGCTTAAAATCAAAACAGAGGTCAAAACATTTATTAAATATAAACAAAATACTCTTCCATTTTAATATCAATATTTATGATTTGAAAATCAGTTTCAAAAAATTATCTGGAAACCCTGAATAATATCTTTTTTAAAATTTTATCTCTCTGAAAAATGGAAAATTTTGTATTCTGTTACGTGACGAGGGCTAAAAAGGAACTTCCTGATTTAAAAATAGGAAATTCCAAATTGACACAAATTAAATAACTGATTTGGCAACTTTTTTTAATGTGATCAAAACATAAGTCGAATATATATTTTGGTACATAGTTATAACCTGTATATAATTTTTTTTTTTACACTGCTAATACTAAAATTAGGGTGTTGACGTTATTTTTTTTTTCATGACGGATAGTATGTAAACAAAATACAATTTAATTCTTCTCTCTTGTATTTTGCTGAAAATCAAAATCTGTATCATTTTATCAGATTATGAAAATCGATTATTCCTGTTTTTTCGGTCAGTAGATGCACTTTGGGGTAAAAAATTATCTGGAGCTCTGAATAATATCTTGCAAGTAAAAACAGGCTTTAACTTGCATATTTCATATGTCATATAATGGGTAATGAAAACTGTTGAACAAGCAACTTTTTTCTGTCTAACTCGAGACGTTTAAGATCATTAATTTGAACATCATCGGGGGAGGGGGGTCAATAGATACTTTTACTTGATTTACATTCAACTGGTACATAAACCGAGTCGTACACAAAAAGTCAAATCGTACACAAATCAGAAGTCAGCTCGTGCACAAACTAATGTCATTCGTACATAGGTTTTCCTACGTCTTCTTCTACCCATCCAATGCAAAAGCAGAAAAGTATTATTGCACTCTGCGTAAGGAGGCGAGTGTCTACATGTATATACAGTGCTCATAAAATTAAAAGTTTAAAAGATTAAAAGCGCAGAGATGTGACGTCTAATGCTGGCACTGGACAACTGGGTCTTAAAACTGTCCAGGAAGATCCTGACAGGCCCCCACCATTCCTCCTGGTAAGGAATTTCTTCTTGAGGGAAGAAGGAGGTCTTTTACACTTCTGTCCTTGTGTGTGGTACCAGGAACCCCAGGGTGTGGCCTCTGGTCCTCAACGATGCTGGGTGTAAGTAGCTCTCCGCCGGGATATCCACAAGATGGTAGACTATCCTATAAATCATGATAACTTGGGTCCTTTCCCGACGGATCTGGAGTGGCTGCCATTGGAGCTGCTGTAACATGGGTGTTACACTGCTTGAGTGCTGGTAGTGTCAAATGGCGAATCTAGCTGCACTTCATTTTTGCCGAGGAAGGCCAGGGTGGAATTGGCCTTCTTAGTAATCTTATCTATGTGCGTATCCCAGCTAAGGTTCTCGTGGATTGTGAGACCAAGATACTTGGTAGAGAGGACAGTGTTTAGGACTTGGTCGTGTATGCTATATAATCAGCGCAGTGGGGATTTCCGTTCTTTGTAAACCCGCAGTACTTCACACTTATCCGGGTTGAAATAAAGTATATTTAAGTCGCTCTGTATAATAGCTCGGTCTTTTGTTGTCCGTATCCTCCTTTACAACAAGCAGTCATCGGAGAGGAGACTGGTACATGTATAGATGACACTGTTGATGGCAAGTCATTACGTGATTTAAG